CTAACAGCCTGGAATCTCCAGTACCTTGATCTTGGACTTCCAACTTCAAGTGTGAGAAACAGGTTTCAATTGTTTAGAAGTTATGTGGTTTATGATACTTTTGTCTGAGAAAACACCCTGTCTCTCTGTCCCCAGTTCTGTTACAGGGCTAGAGGGGGTGCTGTATAGGAAGGGGCATCACCACTGGACAGAGTGGACCCCGGAAAAAAGTCAAATCACTTCCCTGAAGGAAGTGCAGGCTTTGTGGAGGTACTGTAGGCCAAGCCCTGTCCACTCACTGTCCTTGGACATCAGCCTCCTGTCCTTGTCCTTTGAGAGCTGATCACTTGGGAGCAGGTTAACTCAGCAAGGCTGCTCCATCAAGAAGGCCTCCTGAGGAAGTGCCTGAGTCCAATTTGGGGCATTAGGTTAATAATTAAATTGGTTGTTACTGAGTTAAGTTTTCCTTTAAATTGTTGTTTACTGTTGGTGAAAGTTCTGGGGTTGGAGGTCATTGCACATTGCTTTGGGAAGGTGTTAAAATACATCTTCTGTAGCCTTTCTCAGTGTTGGGGTCAATGTCTGTCTGTCTGTCTCTCTCACTCTCTGTCTCCTTCCCTGGGTGTTGTGCTTTGAGGATATATCAGATAGGATGTTTTTATTGTAAGCAAAAACAAAAAATACTAACTCAGAGTAGCTTAAGCCAAGAGGATTTCACTGTCTCAGGTATCTGGCAGGTCAGACAGGGCAGGTTTCAGGTATGGCTGGAGCAGGAGTCTGCTATCAGGAGTCTACTGTCCTCCCTCCCCAGGCCTCTTCCCTGCACAAGTCCATCTGCTTTTCCATGTTGGGTTAATGCTCAGTTGGTTCTTTCCACCTGGGGAGGAAGCTGGCCACCGGCAACTCCAAGTCATGTGAATGGTGCAGGTTATGGTGCCAAAAGGAGCGGGCGGTGAGGACCCCTCTTACCTGTCCATCAGCCGTGTCAGTCTCTGTGTTCTCTGTTGTGTCCAGCACTGACAATTGTCTGCAGGACGGCTGGTCCAATAGGAGTGCCAGGCCAGGATCACAAACAAACAGAAACTTAGAAGGGACAAATTAAAAAATAAGACAGAACTTGGAAATTGAAAACATAGTAGCAGGGATTAAAGATAACACTGAGACTTTCCTAGAAAGTTGAGAGAAAGAGAAGGAGAAGAAAGAGAGAGAGAGAGAGAGAGAGGGAGAAGGAGATGAAAGAGTAAAATAAGAGAAAACTGGGGGCAGGTCCTGGGGACTCCATCTTATTAGCAATGCCCAGGGGAAAACAGGAAACTAGCCCAAGAGCTCCCCCAGATAGAGTCATGTGTCTCCAAATTGAAAGGGTCCACTGAGCGGTCAGAACAGCCAGTAAGGGGTCTGCATGAAGGCACCATGAGAACGACATCTCTGAGGGCCAGGAGCAGAGAGCAGACCCTCCTTGCTTGCCGAGAGGAAGCCAGGCTGTGTTCAAATGATGGAGGACCAGTTTGACCCAGAATCAATAAGAACTCTGGAACAATACCACACTCTTCTGAAGGAAAAGTGTTTCTTACGTCAGATGGATGCCCATCCAAACTCAATGAAGTGTAAGGACAAACTAAGGACACTTTCACATGTGTGAAGTCTCAAAATCCCACTTCCACATATCCTCCCCAGGAGAGGAAAGGAAGAAAGAACCAACAGGGAGCTGTGAAGCCGGGGGTAGCCAGGCTATCCTGAATAGGACACTTCTGAGAGGAGATTTAGATAATTGGGGGATTGAAGGAGTGACTTGGTGATAAATGAGAGAAAACAAAGCAAATATACAAGGAGGTAATGCTTAACTCTAGTTAAAACAAAAGGTTTACAGGAAGGAAAACCACATAGCATACCATGTTGTTTAGTTGTGGACACTATCTACCTGATCATAATGATGTAAAGTTGAATACTGATCTAGCCAAAATAGCAATATGTCCATTCTTAGGGAACGTGTATAAGTGTTTGTGCATGTGTGAGAAAGAGAAGGAGAAGATTAGAGTTAGAGGTGTGAGTTTGTCAATGAAAGAGAATTACACTTTTACCCTCAATGGTGAGAAGTCAGTTAATGCCCCAAACTGAAAAAGTCAAGACCAAAATGAAATGTCCTCCAGCCTGGGAAGGGTGGGCACCTCATCTCACTATCTGGAAACAAATGTGCCAAATGCAAGAGAGTTATCTCTAGATTCAAAGTAGATTCACAAATGTGTTTATTCATTGCCTCATGGAGAGGGTGAGAAACCTTTAGCCTGCCAGCGGCAAAGCATTCCCTAAGTTACCTTTGAGGTAGCTATGTGAATACACCCCTGTTCTGTTTATTCCCTGTGTGTATTTCATGTTATGCTTGCCTCCGTGCTGAGCCGCAGAAGGATGTGGGGGTTTGCTTGTCCTCCAAGAGGCAGGCAGGTTTAAAGGACTGTGAATGGCCCCTGGCAATTTAGCAGGCCTGCTGCTACTGTACTGGGGCTGAAGAATCTGCTGCTCTTAGGGTTCAGAAGAGAATTTTTCTTTCTTTGAAAGGATTCTTTCTTGGGTTTCATCTGGACACAAAGGAAAGCCACACCATACTTTGATCTGAGAAAAATGGAGGCAGTGGAGATACTACTGTCCACCACAGTGCTGAGATCAGCACATGATGCCAAAAAGTCCCCGTCAGCTCTCAGGTCAGAAAGGAGATAGAAACAGAGGGGAGAGAGACAGAGAGGCAAAGAGAAATAGAGGGGAGCTCTCAGGAGCCTGACAGACTGGTTGGAGACTGTCCTGTGTGCTGTGGTGCTCCCAACCTGAAGTCTGTACTTTTGCTATTTGAGTTTCCTTAAAAAGAATGAGCAGAGGTGTCCAGTCTGAGTGGCATTTGTCCTTCCATTGACTCACAGTTTCCTGTGAACAGAGTATGTAGTTTAGCAAGAGATGGACAGGGATTCAGGAACCTTCAGTCCAAGACATGGGCTCTTCGAGGACTGGAGGAAGGACCTCTGAGTCTGAAATGGTGGGAGGGAATCAGGATGGGAGCTGCAGGGTGAGCACGAGGCAGGTGGAGCAGGGGACAAGCCTGGACACAATGGGGGAATGTAGTGGAGGGGTGGTGAAGGCCGATGGGCATGGTTGGGGAACAGGCCATGCTTGGAGCAGGCAGAGCAAGGCATGGGCCTCTGCGTGCATCGTGGTAGTCACCATGCACAAACATTCTCAGTTCAGGGCTGGCTCGCTGCTGCTGCTCTATCCACTGGGAGCCAGAGTACAGAGACCTGAGCTCCTCTGGGGTGTCTTGTCTACCTGCAATTGGGGCAGGAGCTATCAGAGTGGAGTCTCTGGTGGGTGTCCTCCGCCTTCCCATGCATGCTTGAGACAATACCACCCACCTACCCCTGGTGGCTTGTAGCCAAATCACAGTGGTCTAGCTCCTTCAAGGGGCAGTGCTGAGCTCCGGTGCTGCAAGTCAGAAGAACCTGTTTAATGAATATTCACTGGCAGCACTAGGTTTCTTTTGGAAGAAGAGCAGCTGGATTTATACCCATTGTGAGGTTTGAAGGAGATCCACTCTTCTTTCCGTTTCTCGATATGCACTTTTCCTTTGGAAGTATGATTCTCAATTTATCTTTACTCAGCCACATCCCAGGAAGTTTCTGAGGCTACTTGTCTCTAGATTCAGGAGCTCAGAGAGACATTCCCCAGTCCAAGGGCCACAGAACCTTAGCAGTTTGGATTCTGCTGAGGTGGCACTTATTTTTAGGAAGGGCCACGCCCCTTTATGGCATTTTTCTGTCCTTCTCGGTTGCTGGGTCCTCCTCTCATCAGTCTGCTGAGCATGTACTCTGGCCCACAGGCCTGGTGGTTCCCAGAGGCGCCAGAAGTGAACACTGGTGATTTTTCAAAGAAGCAGAAAAATGGTTTCTGTTGGAATATTTTTCTTTTAAAAAATATTTTTGGGGGGCTGGGGTGTAGTTCAGTGGTAGAGCACTTGCCTAGCATGCACAAGACTACAAGACTCCTGGGCTCCATCCCCAGCACCACACACACACAGAGAGAGAGAGAGACAGAGACAGAGACAGAGAGAGAGACAGAGACAGACAGAGAGAGAGGTAGAGACAAAGAGAGAGATTACAGCATCTTTTATTTTAGAAGACAGCAAACTCATTAAAATAAAAACTCGAAAGGAGAAAAAGGTTAAACACTGCTCACGCTGCCCATAATCTGTAACCCAGAGGTCACTAGTGGCAGTGAAGGTGCTGTTCCCCTTAGTCCTTCCTTTCTATGCAAACACAGATACACACACTCTCAGACCTGCCATCTTGCTTCCTGTCTGATCCCACATCCCATGCATTTCCACTTCATTTCCCAGCTATACTTGGGGGACACCCTCCTGTTGCCAGACCTGCTATTTTTCCTCTGTTACCATGGAAACAGAGCTGAGTGGAGCTTTTGCATGCAGCAGGGTAGTCTGAGTGAGGGGCAAAGGTGGAGTGAGAAGGAAAACGGGCGCAGGACCCAGATGGCTGCAGCCCTGCAGCAAACTCACCAGCCACCAGGTCACACATGGTTTCCTCAAGGGCTCAGAGCAGCTCTTGGGAAGGGAAGGTCCAACTCTGCTGCCTGGGGTGAACCCAGCCCTCCTGGCTTGTGTGTCACCTTCGGGACGGTGGCTGGGAAGCTCAAGTCCCAGGAAACCCAGTTGGAAAGCACCAAGCACTAGGCTGATGGCAGCAGTGAGTGTCTGAGTCTCCACAGAGGCCGGGGCAGGCAGTTGATGCTGAAAGAGGGGAGGGGGGCCGGTGGCAGGCGCTCTCTTCTGAGTCTGAGTAAACCTGGGGAGAGGCACATCAGGGTCTCAGCCACCTCTTGTAAACCTGGGATCTGCTCCATGAGAAACCCTTTCCTCTCCTACAGTGAGAGTTTCATCCTCTTAGCATTCTTTTATAAACGGTGACTCTGGGAAATCCTTTGCAGCCAGCCCCACACCTAAGTCATCCCCAACTCTTTCACAGGGATTGACCACAAGACGACCACCATCCTGTTGGACGGCCGGCGGGTGAAGCTGCAGTTGTGGTGAGTTGGGGCCACCCTGGCTAGGGGCACTGACCCCAGGGCCTCACCCATTTAGTGCCAGCTTAAGTTGGTGGCTTCCTGAAGGACAGCGCTGACCCAGTTGTCTGGGCCACTGAGGTCCGTCACCCCATTGTCTAATGGAAAGGGAGCCAGGGCTGAGCCCTGTCCAGGGAAGATGCCTCATTGGCACCTGCCTCCTGCTCTCCTCCCTGGCCCTGGGGGACAGAAGTGGCATAATCAAGACAGTCTAGGTGCCAGGTCCTCCACACCTGGCTCTGAGCATCCACCAGGGAACTCAGAGGTCTAAGGACTTGCTGAGCAGCTCGGGCCTGGAGCTCCTTCCACTATGGGGACCCTGCTCTCTCTGCAGATCCTGCTGTCCATCTTCTGAGTGCAGCTAAACCACCCAAGGTTACTATCAGAACCCTGTCCTTCTCTAGGGCCTGAGCCAAGAGCCAGGGGCTCATCCTCCCTGGGCCAGGCACCATTACACTATAGAGCAGATGCTTCTGAGGCTACACTGGACTTGGCTCCAGAGGCTGTGCCTACAGTTGCTACATGCCCTGAATCTCCTCTGATTTTGCAGTGGAGGTGGACTTTCTCCAAGTCTGTTTCTGGTCTGGCTGCAATGTTGGCAAAGGCCTCTGTGTCCCTTGGTGCCCCTTCTGAATCTGGAATCATCCTTGACACTTGTCTTTCTCTCATGCCAATGTGGAGAGAGCTTCAGGAGACCCAACACAAGCACTCCACGTCACCCTGCTCACCTCCATCTGTCCCTCTTCCTCTGCTCTTCACTGTCCCCAGCCTTCACACGTGAACTTTCCTCAGGAAGCCAGGTCTGCCTCACCCTGCTCCACAAAGGCCTCACGGGCTTCTGCCGTGCTCAGAATCACCCTAAGTGACTGCAGGACCTTGAGATCACTCCTGAGTAGTACCAGCTGCAGGCTATGTCCACATTGACCCCTTTGCATAGTCACATTCCCCACCCTAGGTCTCTGGATGTGGTTTCCTAAAGCCTAGGGCTGAGCCCTCTGCCTGCCTCCCCCAGCTCCTCCCATAGCTGCAGAGCGCTGGGCTTTCTCAGGGCTTTGACCCACAGTGGTGGTGCAGGAATCTCACCTCACCATGGGGCCTGCCTGTCTGACAGCACCTCCTGAGGCCTTTGACCTCCAATGAGAGGCCAGTAGATGATCACCTCCATTCTGCTGTCTCCTTGCGCACAGACCTTCTAGTGACAGAACTTCAAGAGAGGTTCTGTTGAATTCTTGAATCCTCGGTTGATTTGCTTTTCAAGAAAATGAGGTTCTTGTTGCCATGTCTTTGGCAACAGCCAGTTCTGTCAGCTTCTCGTGAGCCATAGGCCCTCCTCTAAGGTTTTGAGTGGTCACCAACTGTAGGTGACATATAACAAAAACAGCAAAAAGCATGCCTTGTCCTGCTGCTCATTGTGAGGATACACACCTCTTGTGCATGGCTCTCTGAGAACCATAGCTGAAGTGGGTATGTTGCTGCATGTGCAGGTATGTAGCCACATTGCTTTAGAAAATATGCCAGGAAGGCTCGGAAGATTCTAGGAGGACCTCAAGTTTGAGGCCATCCTGGGCTACACATTGAGACTCTTTCAAAAACCTTTCAAAAAATGGCCAGACACAGTGGTGATATACACCTGTAATCTCAGCTGCTTTGGAGGTGGAGGCAGGAGGATCTTGGTTCAGGGTTGGCCCTAAGCAAAGCATGAGACTGTACCTGAAAAATAAACTAAAAGCAAAAGGAGGGCTGGCAGAGTGACTCAAGTGGTACAGCACCTGCCTAGCAAGTGTGAGGCCCTGAATTCAAACCCCAGTACCACCAAAAAAAAAAAAAAAAAAAAAAAAAAAAAAGGACTGGGTTGGTGGGTGGGTGGGTGCCTACTGGCCTCTGGAATCTCCTTTTTCTTTACCCTTAGTGCTACACGTTTGACTTTTCAAAATGGCAGTTAGAAAGGAGAGTGAGCCCAGAGGACCTCCTGATGTCCAGATCACTGCAGGAAATGCAGGGTGGTTTTGCTGGGGTCTCAAACTTGCCACACGATGAGCACAGGCATGACAACAATAAAATGCTTCAAGACTTGCGAACCTGGTTGTGAGGAAGAAGCACTGATTTCCTCTTAACAGTCTCCCCCATGTTTTCCAGGGACACGTCAGGGCAGGGACGATTTTGCACCATATTCCGCTCCTACTCGAGGGGCGCACAGGTAATGCAGCGTCATTTCCTGAGAGAGCAAACGCTTTAGTGGATAATTGGAAGAAAAGCCAATTCAGCTTCTGTATAAATTGATGAGTGCCTACAGATGTGCTATATGTTTTTTTCTTTTCTAGTAGAGCATATTAATTGTACAAAGGGGTTTCATTGTGATATTTCCATACATATATAGAAACATACTATAGAGTATTTGGTGGCTTAAGTTTTTTTCAGCACCACTGATGTACAAGTGCATGTGTTCCTGTGAGTGCCTGCACTTGTATGCATGTGCGCTGTGTGTGCATGTGTCTATCTCTCTGTCTTTCTGTGCGTTCACTCTATCCAGGTGAGGGGTGCCTTGCTCTGTGTGAGGTGGTGGTTTCTGCAGTGACCCCACATCCCATGTCCTTGGAGCAACTCACAGATGTGAGTTCTAACCTCCAACTCACCTTGATATTTTTGAGTTTATCAGTAAGCTTATCAAAGTCACTAGAAATGATAATATAACTGTTACATGTGGTAGGTAAATCAAATTTATATACTTTGTGTTAAAGTAGGTAAAGTGCTTAGTTAGTTGTGTGTCTTTGATTAAAACACAGCACACCAGTTAGCACATGGGTGTTTAACATGATTCTCAGAGTCTGCCTGGCTCTGCAGTTCTGGTCCAGGCTGGCACCTGTGCTTTGTGTGCTGACCCTGTGCCCTCTCTCTCCCCCAGGGTGTGATCCTAGTCTATGACATCGCCAACCGCTGGTCCTTTGATGGCATCAATCGATGGATTAAGGAGATAGACGAGGTATGATGCGTGATGCTGTTGCCTGTGTTTGTTTGGGCTTCAGAGGACATCAAGCCAGGGGTCAGTGCCCAGGGCTGTGGCACACATGGGCCAGGACATGTGCTGGGGCTTCAACAGCAGAAAGGATGCACCACCTTACAGCTAGGCCTCCAGTGTGACCACAGGGAGCCTCGGGGCTCCGGATTCCTATCCAGGCCCCATGTGGGACAAAGTATCCTGCTGGGCCTGATCTCAGGTGCTAGGACTCAGCCTGCTTTGCTCTCTGTTGGGGTCAGGGTGGGTGATGAGCAGTGAGGGGCTGCTGCTTATTGGCATGGCACCCTGACCAACCTGACTCTCACCGGGAGACATGAGAGAGTCAGCACTAAGCCTGCCGATTAGGGTTCCATGGCTGCCATAGCAAAGGACCACAAACCGGGTGCTTTAAAACAACAGAAATTTATTTTCTCTTAGTTCTGGACAGCAGAATCCAAAATCAAAGTGCTGACAGGGCTGTGTTCCCTCCAGAAGCCTTGGGGATCCTTCACACCAATCCCACCTTCTGGAGCTTATAGTGGTTCTCAGAGTCCTCAGAGGCTGTCACTCCAGCCTCTGCCTCCATTACTACATGGCTTCTCTGTATCCTCTCCTCTTTTTATGAAGACACCAGGCATTAGTAGGGCCCACCCTAATTCAGTATGACTTCATGTTAAGCAATTAGATCTCCACAGACCCTATTTCCAAATAAAGTCCCATTTTGAGGTTCCGGGGTGAATATGAATTTGTGGCAGTTTGCTATTCAACCCCGTATGCTCAGGGTACCAACAGCAAAACTCACACAAGTCACCCATTTTCCTTGCCTCTCTCACCCTTAGCATGCCCCCGGTGTCCCTAAAATCCTGGTGGGGAATCGGCTTCACCTGGCATTCAAGCGGCAGGTTCCCACAGAGCAGGCCCAGGCCTATGCAGAGCGCCTGGGCGTGACCTTCTTTGAGGTCAGCCCTCTGTGCAACTTCAACATCACAGAGTCCTTCACAGAGCTGGCCAGAATTGTGCTTCTGCGACACGGGATGGACCGGCTCTGGAGGCCAAGCAAGGGTAGGTCGAAGACACCACTCCAAGTGCCATCCTGCCTGGTCAGATGGGATGTGGTTTTAAGCCCCCTGCACAATGGTGGACTCCCCAGACCCATCTCAAGGTCACTGTGTCCGTTCTTAAAGAGTAAAGTGTATTTCATTTGAGAGAAATATTATTCCAGATTTGGAAGAAACTACAAGAAAAATTTCTGTAATTAGTGCTTGGGCAGAGGTGAAGGCAGGGTAGAGTTTGCTGCACTCATGAGTAGCTCAGCTTGAGCTCTGTGGTATTCCCATAGTCCCAGGAAGGCGGGAAGTCAGGTGTGTGGGGTGCCCCCTGGTGGCCAGCCTCAGTCAGGGACATGTAAACTAAGCGTGGCTTTCTTTTTCTTCCCAAGTTCTGAGCTTGCAGGACCTGTGCTGCCGTGCAGTGGTGTCTTGCACGCCTGTGCACCTGGTAGACAAGCTTCCGCTCCCTGTTGCCTTACGGAGCCACCTTAAGTCATTCTCAATGGCCAATGGCCTGAATGCCAGGATGATGCACGGCCGGTCCTACTCCCTGGCCACCAGCTCCAGCCACAAGAGGAGCAGCTTCCGCAAAGCCAGGGTTGCCCACCCACCCCAGAGCCCACCCAGAAACTGCACCAGAAATAGCTGCAAAATTTCTTAGGGAAGATACTAGCAAGACACACACTGGGGCCTGTCCAGGAAGGAGGCTCTGAGTAGTCACACCTGCAGGACAGAGACCATTCCAGACTCAGAAACATCTCTCCCCGTAATGATGCTGCTTCTGAATGCCCATGCCACCTCCAGAGGTGCAAATGCTGACATGTGACTGACACTTCTGCGTGGATGTGCATGAAGCTCTTGTTCTAGATTTGTGTGTATAAAGGGAAAATTAGTATTCTGCTCAACCCTTGATAACGTGAAGTTTCGAACGTTACTTTATCATGATTGCAGTACGACCTGTTCGTTAAATAACCGCATTTATAAGGCTGGTGAAATGCGTGCGGTGAGTACATACATATTCAAGGGAATTTGAAAAGCAGTGATGGTGGGATGAGCTAGCGCCATCCACACTACACGATGGCCTTTTTGTAAACCTCCTTTTTAATGTCAAAGCACCAATTTATAAAATGCTGCAGTTGCACAGAGATTACGTACAAAATCCATCCAGTTTGGGTATGAAGTGCATTTGATAAAAGTTTTTGCTATGCTGTTTACTACATTTTGGGATTAATAAGTAATTTATATGCATATTTTTCTGTAAATCTACACTTTTTTGTACAAGGTGTTCTGCAAGTTATGAAGCTGTGGAAAGAAAATGCCAAAGATATCTCTAGTTATGTTGAGCATAGCCAGCAACAGATCGGCAAGGGGAAAGCCGTTGCAGTGAAGAATGAAGTGAAAACACTGTTATTTAAGAAAATGTTTCTGAACAATAAAGTGGATACTTGTTCCTCTCTCAGTAGAGTTGGGGCTGGCTCTTTGTAGCTCTTGGTGCCCTTTTCTCCACTTGCCTCCCTGCCTCGTGTGGACCCCACAGGTCAATGCTGGTTCATGACATTAACCACAAGTCTTAACTTTTGACCCAGGTCACTTTTGGAAAAGATTCTTTTTCCTGAGTAGAAATGTAAGGGAAGAAAGTAGAAGTACTAAAAAACGGCACTCACTTGTGTGCCTGTTGATAGAACATCAGAGGTCTGCTGATCCCCAAGAGCAGAGTTGTGGCTGAGTGTTTCCACAGAGAGGAAACCCTGTCGCCAGTCTACAGTAGAGATCACACTGGCTGTGCAGATGCTGAGGCTTCCGGTCTCTCTCCTAGTCCTACTGCCTAATGTTCTCTGTGAAACTGGAGGCAAATGGGGGAATTAAACAAAAAAGATGAGACTAGAAAATGCTCCAATTCCTCAGTTTCTGTTATCAACGTAAAGAATTTTAGTAGCTTATAGGACCCTAAGCTCCATAGCAGCGCTGTACTCAGAGACAATGGAGCACGGCTGCCTCTGACCACTGAAGGCCTAGAGCTGGGGCCATCTAGCCACCTGGGCACAATGAGGGGGACAGATGTCCACAGGAAGCAGGTGAGTGGCTGTGGACAGATGGTGAACCTTGAGAGGACGGTGCCTCCTTGAGGAGTGACCAGCCTGCCAGGGCCTTTGGAGCCTGTTCTTTACTGTGCCACTGATGGAAACAGTCGGGGCCCATCCACCAGGAAAGAGACAGCTCTTTCCCAGGTTTGTGACCAGAATGATGAAAGAAGAGGTCAAGTTAAAGGAAACTCCCTCTGTCCTCCAAAGAGGGCTGTGTGGGCCAGATATCTGACTAAGCCAGGTCAGACAGGTTCTTTTCTTTCCTGATTTTTTTTTTTTTTTTGAGACAGGGTCTCCCTATATAGCCCAGGCTGGCCTCAAACTCACAATTCTTCTGCCTTTGCTCTCAAGTGCTGGGATGGCAGGCACATGCAACCACAGCTGGCTCTTTTCTGATTTTTGATTGAAGGACTTCCACACCTATCCTAGAAGGGGCCAAAGCACAGCTCCCTGAGCCTCTGTGACGTGGAGCCCTGCAGAGGCCTGATGTTCACAGAGTACACAGGCTGCCCAGCAGTCTCAGCCCTACAGGGTACAACACAGGGGCCACTGACCCTTTTTTCTGATCAAGAAAAGGCAGGAAGGGCTCTTGCCTAGGACCCTTTGGAAGGAGCACAGCCCTGCCCACACCTTGATTTTGGACTTTTTTCTGCCTTCCAAAACTGGAAGATGAGAGTGCTGGCAAAGTGGCTCAAGTGGTAGAATGCCTGCCTAGCAAACATGAGGCCTTGAGTTCAAACCTGAGTACTAACCAAAAAAAAAAAAAATAACAAAAATGTGTTAAGCCACCCAGTTTGTGGCAATTTGTTATTGTAGCTCCAGAAAAGCAACATGACAGGGAAACTGTACTTCACAGTAGGAAGCACTATAGCAAATAAAATAGTATTGCTGTAAAATAAAAATAAACCCCAATACGGAATATATTGAGTATTACCAAAAATTTTGTCACTGTCCTCTCAGGCCCCACTGCTGGCAAAGTCTGTGTGAGCACCATGGTAGCATCTCTTCAACATCGAGATTCAGTATATATTATGCATGATTATGACTTCAATGACCCTGTAAAAATTACTGCCATGCAGAAAATCTAGAAACAGCACCTGCAACTTTGATGAGGGATTATTTACACAAAATACTGACTTTAGAAAAAAAATGTGCATTGCAGACTTGATGATATTTGTCTTTACAAAGATATGAAGACACTCAGGCTCACTTTGCTGGAGAACTATTTCACCAATTTAAATGTGGATTTTAGAAGCAAAATTGAAGCTGTTCACATTAGGGGAACTGGAATCAGGTTGGAATGGGGAGGGAGGTCATAGCTGTCAGGCTGGGGCTCACTTCTGTCCCACCATGAAGACAGGGAAGAGAGGGGGTGGGGGAGTCTGGGCCCACTTGAGCCACTGTAACAAAATATCCGAGACTGGGTAATTTATAAAAAAGTAGAAATTTGATTCTCACAGCTCTGGAAGTTGGAAGTCCAACAGTAAGACACCAGCAGAGTCACTTTCTGCTTTCTAAGATGGCGCCTGGAAGGCTGTGTCTTCACTTGGCAAAAGAGATGGAAAGACAAGGGGGGCAGTGCCCTGACCTCTTTTTATAAGGTCATTGATCCCACTCATGAGGGCTCCATCCTGGTGACCCAAGCATCTCCAAGAGTAACCTCCAAATGTCCTATCTTGGCAAATGAGGTTTTGATACATGGATTTTTGAGGGGTGCATTTGTTGAGAGGTGTTTCTCAACACCCTGAGCTATGGAAGGTGTTGGCCAAACAGAGGAGTTTGGAGGAAGCTGAGCAGTCAAAGAATGGGATGTCCTGCTCTGCTCACACTTCAGTGGACAGTGTGGTGAGAGTGCTGATGGTAACAAGGAGGTCCCTATGGCAGCTTCCTGCAGGAAGGCAGGTGACTGCTCCAAGATCTGGGTCCCCATGTGCTGAGTGTGATGTTCCCTGCTCTGCAGAGGGTCTCTGGGCAGAGGGGGGAAGTTTCACATGCTGGCCCTTCTGTCCTTCCCCCAGCCCCTATGAATGCGAGGTTGGGGTTTGGCTCTTTCTCATTCCTGCCTCATGGAATTTTTGGGTCTAGGACCTCTTACTCTAGATCACTGGACTCCTTCACTGATATGCAGGGGAGACAGCGGAGTGGCAGCAGTGACGGATGCATCTCCAGCCCATGTGCGGCAGCAGTGGTGGCAGTGGCAGTAGTGGCGAGAGGGCAGCTGAAGAGTTCCAGAGAGCCACTGGGGGCAGGGAGCAGAGGCAGTGGAGAGGACAAAGGCTGCAAGAGCCAAAGATGAGAAACTGGGAGTCCGGTCACTGGCAAAGCTCCAGGGAGCTGCCCAGCCTTAAGGGCCAAGGATCTCAGACACCCTAGTCCTGAGGGCTGTAGGAGCTGAGGGTCCCAACACTCAAGACCTGTTGAGGAGCCGTAACACTGCCACTCCCTGCTGCTCAAAGCTGAGGGTTAAAATAGCTGCCACGTGCCGGGGCTGCTGCTAGTTAAAGTCCAGAGTCCAGAATATCCAGAGCCATAAGTCTCTGGCTTCTGAAGTCTGGAGCAATAAGCCCCAGCTCTCAGGAACCGGAACTGTGAGCCTCTGGCTCTGCCAGTCCAGCGCCTAGGCCTTGGGCACTCCAGAGTCGAGGACTGACAAGACTAAAAGAGAGTCTCTGCCACTTGCGGTTTCTATTCGGGGAAAGCAAAAGGACCCCAGCTGATTGGTAACAATGATTTGAAAGCCTTAACACAAAGGCATCATGCTTCACCCCCATTTCTGAAGTAGAACTCGGAGCAATGAGATTGTGAGGCAAGGAATCACAACAGATAATGAGACCGGCTGGAGTAATGCAGGCACTGTCTCCAGCGGAAGACGGGGAGTTCCTAGACCACAGTGTGCTTGTCTCTCACTCTTGGCCTCATGGCTGTCTTCTCCTCATCCCAAGGGCACCAAGTGGAGCACTGAGGGCCACATGTCCTATTGAACATGAAGGTTCCACAGACAGTCACCGCAACTGACAGAGCAGAACAAAAAGCAAGACCTCTGAACCCAGATGGCAACAGTGCCCAAGTTGCCCAAGCAAGCAGACAGCCCCCAACCCTGCTGAATATGATCTGTTGTCACCAACAGCAGCTTTAACCTTGATTGGATCTCGGAATTACCTCTGCTTCTGATAGGCTCACATGCAGTAAAGCATGACTGCCTCAAGTGTCCCATTCCTGCACACTTTTCTAGCACCTTCCTGCTGTGCCACCCCTCCCTTCCCTCATAACAGCAAGTCAGTGTCTGCAGTGGTCTGCAGCTAGCAGCATTGACAGCACCTCTGGGCTCCCCTCCTAGAAGGAGTGACAAGTGCTTTGAGCCAGGGTGGGATTTAGAATTCCTCTCCACAGGGGCTCAGAGGCTGCTCTGCCCAGGCAGGGTTTGACTGTTACCATGGGAAAGGAGAGCAAAAGAAACAATGATCAGCTCTTCAGCTCTAGGCTGAGGCAGGGAGTGGACATAGTTTTAAAACTTCTGTCATCAGAAGCCGGCCATTTTTAGAGCTTGCTGTGACAGCAAGTGGCTGTGGTTGCCATGGGGCTTCCCCCAGGCTCCCAGTTTCTCATCTTCGGCTCTTGGAGCCTTTGTCCTCTCTACCGCCTCTGCTCCCTGCCCCTGATGGCTCTCTAGAACGCTTCAGCTGCCCTCTTGCCACTGCTGCTGCTGCTGCTCCACTGCCTCCCCTTTGTGTCCCACTCTGCTGATGACAATGATCAAAGTAGGCAGGAAAAGATCACTCCAAACAAGCCTTTCATTGGCCTCATGTTGCAACACCAGGGGCAGCACAGGAGAGTCACCCAGATGGCTTGAAAAGTGAGCCTGACAGTCTGCTTATATAGCTGGAAAAGGGGTGTGGCAAGGGTGTTTGCATCAATCGTGGAAGACCTTCGTGCAAATGAAGAACTGTTGGCACCAATCACAGGCGTTCTGATGGGCCACCAGGGGCCAGGAGTAATGCTGCAGGGTTCTGGAGTTCACCCGGGCTTGTGATGGCACAGGTTCAGCACAAGCTGTATGATACAGTCATGGCTGAGACACGGCCTTCAGGAGCCAGAGCTGTGCTTTGGCAGCATGCAGCTGTGGTTGCTGTGAAGCTTCCTCAAGGCATTCATGGAGTGTTCAAAGCAGCCAGGCCTATGAGGGCAGTCTGGCCAGCTGCCAAAGAGGGGCTGCTTGGCTGACAATTCTCCATTCAGGAAAACTGGGGCACCAGGGAAGAATCAAACAGGTGTCAATTAGGAGTCAGACTGACCCAGCCCCCAACATCTTAGCTTATTTTAAAAGAAAAATAACCATACCTATAATACCAGCACTTAGGAGGTAGAGGCAAGAA